CTTCCCTGGTGGTCTAGTGGTTAGGATTCGGCGCTCTCACCACTTCACGCAAGTGGGGGCGCTTGGCTTCCCTATGGATTGCTCTGCGGCTGGGGTCGGGGCGGGTTCCCTTGAGTGGCTTAGCCTTCTTGGTTTGCAAAGCTGCCCAATGGGCTTGCAGTGGTGGTGGTCCCCTCATCGCCTAGCGGGCTCAGTTTGAAGCCTGGTCAAGCATATCAGCCAGTCTGGCTGAGAGGAGCCTCCTCCCCAGTTGAGAGAGGTGGAGGCCATCTCTTCGCAGGAGTCCACTGCCTTTCTCACCAAAGAGCAGACTGTGTTAGTGGAAGCCAATGCCTTCACCATGACACCAGTGCCACAGTCTTTGGTTGACTACTACGATTCTCCTCTCCCTCCTTAGCCCATAGGCCGAGACTGGGTGAATCAAGGAAGAAGACTGGGAAGATCGAGAAAAAGACCAGGAGGATCGAGGAAGATGGAAATGATTTAATCAGACATGATGTGGCCAATTAAATCCTGGTTCACTAACTATAGGGCCAGAGATGTGGTGAGTGACTGGTGTTTGTGCTGACCGCCCTTCATGCCATCGAGTAAATAAGGACAAGTCAGAGGGTTTTGAAAGGGTGGACCTACCAGGCGTCTTGAGGGAAGCCGAGCTATTAGTGGGCGGAAGATGTCCCAGTGCAGGATTATCAGAGTCTGGCTAGTAAGTTTATTTCAATATCTTTTATTTTATCTCTGTTGACCAAAGCAGAGACAAGGGAGAGCAATGTTACTCAGGGCGTACCCATGGGGGTGCAATGTGCCTGGCACAAGACGGATTGTAGCCTGCAGTTGGGTAGCCCGCTGTTTCCCCACCAGTGTGCCACAGCACAAACGTGCACTGTCAGAAATGAACAGGTGTGCCACTTTATTTTGCCATGGCAATGAGCTACAATAGGTATGAGGCCGGGGAATGCCTTAACAGGTGTGCGACGGAAAATTTTTATTAATGTAAGTGTGCCTTGGGCTGGAAAAGGTTGGAAAACACTGGGGTAGCCACTAGTTTGCTATGCGATGAACAAGCCCATGCAAGGCACAGTATTCGGCAACTGAGTAACGTGGCGTGAGAGCAGATGAACGTCGTGTATTTGGGACAAGGCGCCTATTAGACTAGCACCAGAGCTCCTCCCAAGTAGTTATAAAGAACAGTAAGTCTCTCCTATGCTTGCCCACTGCCTTCCCTCCTTCCTTGCATCATTCTCAGCTTTCGGGAGAAAATAGCTGGATTTGTCTATAGTTTTGTTTAGGTATGTAAACCAAAGTAAGTCAGGAACACAACTCAGGAGTCTTAAATCCCAGCACCTAGGCTTTCAGGGAGATAAACTGGATGCTCTAATGACATTTTTTATCTCTAGATTCTTCTTTTAACTGCTGGGTACAGCTGCCTCCAGGAGCCCTTTAACACAATTTAAATAATTTCTTAAGGATTCCCCATTCAGAAGAATTAGTCCTCAGAAGATTTTTCCTTGAAACCTTGCTTTAAAAAACAGGATCCCATCTTGCATTATATTCTCAACCACCAAATGACCAAGGGAAGCTTCCTGTAATAAGATGGAAATTACCCGCTCAGTTTTGACCAGGTCTCAGCCGCATTTATCTTCTGATGATACCAGAGCTTGTGGCGATGCTGCTAGATTAGATTAAAAAAGTGTCTTGCAAAATAGCAAAAAGGGGTCAGAGGGGCCAAAGAAACAGAAAGGCAGGTGTTTTGGCTCTGGTTCGTTGTAGCCTTGCCTAGGTCTGTGGAGGCTTTTGCAGAGTGAGAGTTGTAGGTCCCTTTTAGATGCAATATTATTTCAAAGGAGAAAAAGAAATGACTAGTGAGTTAAGGTTGCAGGTCCTTTTGCCAGTCTCTTTATTGCAAAGTAATTATATTCTCTTTTGCTTGCGTCAGGGGGCCAGGCCTTGAAAGGTCTTGTCTGGGAAACTGTTAATAGAATTTATGCTAATTTGACGATTCTGGCAGTCGCTACAGGAAATGCCTCATATTTTCAGGCAATAGAAATTCAGTCTGCATTTCTGCAATGAGCTAGCTCTGGCTGCTCATCCAATCATGGCGCCCCATCCTACAGGGG